CTATATAATGACATATATATGTCATCCGTCCGGTCCGTCCGTCGCCATCCGTCCGTCCGTCATTCATCCGTCCGTTCGTATCCGTGTGTTATCCTAACCCGTTTTTAATCAACATTTTCAAAAGCGGCCAATTAGACCAGGGGTTAAAGGGCAATGACAATGACATGTAGGTGACATTTAACATTGCGTCTCACTAATTAAAATTTGCGTGTTTAATAATGTTTATCAAAGAAAGCAAAAATGTATACAAGACAATCTCACATGTGGAATTTTTTCACTTGCATACTGCCTTGTGATGCAGTACAAGTATAAATACAAATGACAAAACATTTGTAAATTCTAAAACATAATTAAAAAATCATACGGCACATTTAAGATTTCAATATCGTATTTCAGCCGTGTTTATACTGTTTGGCGCATTCGCTGCGTTATATTCATTTATATACACAGAAAAGCATGTCATTGTCCATGCAGACCATAGGCAAAAAGCATTTGTCAACCACATACCAAATTTAAGCTATGGTTAAATCATATACATGTCATGGAAAGAATATGGAAATAATGTTGAATGAAAGCTAGCATCGCGTATAATATTAAAAGCACCGCATATTATTAGTGCTCGAACCACTGTGTATAATTGCAAAAGCACCGCGTATATAAATGGTGAAAGCACCGCGTATAATACTGGAACACCGCGTATAATGGCGAAAGCACCGTGTATAATGGCGATAGCACTGCCGTATAATGCTAAAAGCACCCAACAAAATGCCGATTGATCACTCTAAGCCAGCTATGGCTTTCCATAAAAGAAGACCAAAGATGAAAGATGATCACATTGCCTGTTTGCCTTATGCCTGACCGCGCTGCACCACGGTTAAAATTCACTGGTACCGTCATGCAATGCGCCAAATAGAAAATTTTGATTTCGACCCACAAAACAAAATTAGGATCTGCTGCCTTGCTCGCTCGCTTCAGGCTCGTTCGCTGCGGCAGCAATTAGGAGAGGATTGTTAGGAAAGTGGGTAATTAACTCTGTTTTCGAGACGCACTTAATCAGGGTGCGATAATTCGCGTACCAACGTACCGGAGGTACGCCAAATTTATGGTCTGGTACGCCAAATTTACTTCTTTGTTTTTAGCCAAATACCACGTAGGTATACGCGGAAATTTACTATTCGCGTACTTACATTTTCCTTCTAGCAATAACTAGCAAACCTGCCAAAGTATTCAAAACCGTGAAGAACTTTAGCTGTACATGCATGTAAATTCCACGCATCCGACATATTTTGGGATCGTTTTCGTTGTAGTGTGGACACTAACATAATTTTTTTACCAATCATCGCGTGTTTACAAGTTATCGTTGTGTGGTGTGACCTGGGCTTAATTGTCAATGATATACCAAGGCCTAAAAACAAAAAACCTGTGGTTCCGGTTCCCGACCGACCCTATTTTTTCTGCCGACCCTATTATTTTTTTAACACGATTGTCCGTGCGACCTAGGCCTATTTTCTCCGGGTGGTTGCGGGCTGCTCGTACAGCGTGTCAAAATGGCGTCTGTTGTCACAATAATTATTGAACCAAATTGCCTAAATTCGTCCGTAGGAATTAACTACGTATCTCTAGTTAATATTGATGTCGGGACTCTACTGAAAATCGCCCAGCAAAAAACCGCCAAAACCATTTTTCCCCACCTACCTACCCTATTTTTTTCGCGATATGAAACCGGAACCACAAGGTTTTTTTAGGCCCAATGAGGAAAACTACACTGTATGTAGCTGAGGTCAGACTGTTAGCGCGCACCTTCGGTAAATCCACTGTAAATGAGCGATGGCATTCGAATCACAACGTCGACGCTTTGAAAACTGTTATATTATGTTGTACAAATACCATAATTAAAGATTCATTTGTACAAAATTGCCCATGCATTTTTGCTTTTGGACCAGTAAACTATACGTAGGTATAAAAACGCATGACTCGGAAGTAGTCTTAGGTACGTCATGACTCTTAAGTTTGTACCAGATCAGGTACGCGGCAAAAGTTGTCGGAGTACCAGTCAGGTACGGCTAAAAATATTGAATTATCGCACCCTGGACTTAATAGTAACATACCTTTCCTATAACGAGTGTTCGCTCTTGTTTAGCTCGCTACTCTGGTTTATAAATGATTACAAAGCCCAGTCGAATTGTAATCAAGACCCAACGTTTCGACACTCCAGTCTAGTGTCTTCATCAGGGGTGATATAAAGTTGCAATCGTGGCTTCTTAAATACCCAAGGGATGACGTCACCTGCCCTTGGGTATTTAAGAAGCCACGATTGCAACTTTAGATCACCCCTGATGAAGACACTAGACTGGAGTGTCGAAACGTTGGGTCTTGATTACAATTCGACTGGGCTTTGTAATCATTTAAACCAGAGTAGCGAGCGAAACATGATTGATATACCTGGTTGCAGTGAACGAACAAACTATAAATCTATACGAGTGTTCACTTTCATGTACAAATCAGTTCACATTCTTTAACTGTTTAATATTTTCTAGGAAGCCTTCTGACTTTCCAAATTCATCGACAACCAAAAGCGTAATCTTTTAAACCCATCCATTCCATGTATTATCATACATATCCTTGTCAGCGATAAAATCTTTCTCACCGGAAAGAACAGCCTTGTTCAAAGCTTTGGCTATTTTCTTATGTTCATCAAATTCTATTTGCCACATGTCTCGTTCAAACTGTTCGACATGTTTTACTGGAGGATACTTAAACTGAACTGGCCTTGGACAACCATAGTGATTCTGATTAGCCACATGTTTTGTAATTGGTAAACCTGATTTTTGTCTCTTTAAATTCTCGTGTAGTCTATCACAAACCAAACATTCAAAACCAGTCACAAAGCTACCATCTCCATCAACCATGTTCCATTCTCTCTCTTTCATATGTTTCAAAAGTGTTGGGTTGGTTACACCACCTTTTTGTTTGAATTCCAAGTACTTTAAATACGAAGCATCATCAGCATCAATTTGTTCGATATATTCTGCCAAATCTTTCGGACTGGGGAAATCATCCACAACAATCACAGAATGATTGTTCGGCATCCAGTCTATCACAGACGGTGAACCACGGTATATAGGCACAGACCCAACCTCGAGTGGTCTCCATATCTTCTCCGTTATATAATCATCGCAAATTGCGTTCTCAAAAGCTAATGTAAATTTGTACTTACCGATTATTTTGTAGAAACCCTTGTTTGAAAATGTTAAAGGATTCCTGTACTCTTCAGGAAGTTCCTTATTGTTAAGACAATTGCCGAATGAATCAACTTTTATGTATTTCATCAATTCTTGCACGTAAGTATCCCTATCTGAAGGTGCGTTGCAAGCACTTTGTACGTAAACAACAGATGCCCTGTTTTTATCACTTGTCTTTTCTTGCAATGTATACCAAGGCTTCTGCTCTAAAACATGGATAGAGTCCAGGGATTGCATCACAAGAGGGAAGTCGGAATGGCGACGAAATGTGCCAGTGTGATTAAATAATACGATTGTATCCTCGTGAAATAAAATTGGATTATTCTTTGGAGATTCTTCGTGAAACAGAGCCCACTCATGATTAGCTAAGAAAATATTTTAATAAAGATCACTGATCCACAATTGTTACAATGGTCCACAATTTGTTTATTCACTTTGTTGTAATACTTTATTTTCTACGATAATTCCAAACAAAGAGGAAAACTTGACTATATATTTCACCAGGTTGTACACCCCGACTCCCATTCAGTAGTACCCAGTGTATAACACTGAACTATATAACTGAACTATATGTATATATTTCTTGTGTGTGTTTTGATGTTATGTACTCAGGTGAATATAATGTTTTTGTTGTTACTCTGAGTGTATATCCACACGGGGCAGGTCGCGGGTTCGATTCCCATCGTGGTCAGGCTAACTTTTCAGCCTGCCCGGTGTGGATATACACTCAGAGTAACAACAAAAACATTACATATATATATATAAAGTTCACTATGAACTGTATGTATATATCGTATAGTTCACTGGTGTATAACAAAATATGGTCTATATGCATGGACAATTCGAAAGTAGTGAAATTGGCAGACACAACTCAGATCTGATCCATGCTTGTATATTTTCATTTTTGCAGGTGGCCAAAAACTAATTCGCAGTCAGCCCCACTATACATTGCGAGAGCATAGTGCAGGGGGTGCACACCCTCCCCCGCCAAAAAATGTTTTGTGTCCACTCAAAACGTTTTCCCACCTAACCTAGAGTAATTTGCACCCCCAGATATTTAAATGCTCATTGGATTAAATGACAGCACTACAGCAGTATGATCGAAATAAGGATTTTGAATTAAATAAGACCAAATATGGTATCCCCACTTGCTCGGCGGCATTACGCGCCAGTCGTGCCCCCTTGATCATCTCCCCACTCAATTTCTTTGCCTGGCGTTTGCCGTATAACGCGAAGCTTAAGCTTTCTACTATAAAAGCTTAATTAAGCTCTCTACTACTCTCTATCTTACCTTTACGAGGTAGTGGTACATCACTCGCATGAACGTCTGTTCCATAAAATAAAAACACTCGAGTACGATTATCATTTTGCATTGTGCGGTCGGCAGTTACATAACAATCTCCCAGATTACACTTGCGTGTTTGATTTACCATCGTGAAAGGAGTCCACCAGATCATTATAGAAATATCTTCATCTGCCCTCAGCTTCTCATCATATTCAATTTCATGTTTGTAATTTTCGTCGTGACGTGTTTGATCTTCTCCGTAATTAAAATGTATTGGTTCATCATTTTCTAGAATAAACCGATTGGAAGATATATTTCAACTCGCATACTTGGAGTAGCAAGAGCCATAACAAACCTTTGTATCAATATTTGTGTCACTTTGACTAAGAAGGTAAAATGTTATGTTTACAAGATGTTTCAACTATTGTAAAGTGTTGAAAATTGTTGAAAATCTTCCGTTGCATGTCTTCGGTGAAGGAGAAAGCGAAATATATACACAGAAGAAAAAAGGAAATTGAAATAATGCCGGTCGAAGAAGATTGGGTATTCTGAACAAAGCATGCAGACTTTCAATTATGAGAGTTGGTCGGCCTTGCCTTGCGCCCTATTCTGTTCCAGAGACAGTGAGACAGCGCACCTGTTCAGTTAGAACATTTACAAAATATTTTTTCTGATATATATATATATATATATATATATATATATATATATATATATATATATATATATATATATATATATATATATATATATATTCAATATTGAATTTGTGCGAAAAATCAGTAGAGCAAATACAAAAAACAAAAACAACAAATTTCAATCTTAAAATTTTATTTCATCGCTACACAGTGTTTCACGTACAGCGTACGATCATCAGGCGATTGATGTTCCTCAATGATACATACTACAACTACAGACGGTACCGTTTCGGCCTAATGGGCCTCATCAGTGTAGTGCTGATGAGCAGGATGAAAGTAACTCTTATTTATAGTTACCTTTGATGCCTCACGATTGTGGGACATCAAAACCATGCCAGAGCGCTCAAACTGCAAGCAGTGAGCGTGCGCAATGCGTAAGCGGCATGGCTCATCCTGTAGAGCGCTCAATATGACCTAAAGGCCATAGAGCGATATCTAACTACAGACGGTATCTAACTACATAGAGCGATATCTAACTACAGACGGTATATATATATATATATATATATATATATATATATATATATATATATATATATATATATATATATATATATATATATATATATATATATATACCCTATATATATATATATATATATATATATATATATATATATATATATATATATATATATATATATATATATATATATATAATATATATAATATATATATATATATATATATATATATATATAGCTTAAGATTTTGGTTTACGAAACACAAACAGTGCTCAATACCATATAGATAGAGCGTAATATAGTTTTTCGTTTTACCTCAAAGAACCACAACAGTCTGTTTCATCCGTATAGGAATCATCAGGTGGTGAATAATTTCGAAATTGTAGGTTGCTTTTATGCTATCGAAAGAATGTTCGGAATGCTTGTAGGCGAAACAATGCTTAGGTGAAACAATGCATGCTTGGGTCATTAGGTTTTGTTAACGACCTTTATAGAGATGATGGTTTGGCTATTATAAAAAGCAAATCCGCCCGTTTACTAGACAAAACTAGAAAAGAGCTACACAAAATTTTCGAGCAATTTGACCTTAAAATCACCGCCGAAGTAAACATGAACGTTGTAAATTTTTTAGATGTTACTTTCGACCTGATCAACGCAAAACACAAACCATACAGGAAACCCAATGACGATCCATTGTACATCCACAGACACTCAAACCATCCACCAAGCATTACAAGACAATTACCTACAGCTATCAACAAACGCATTGCACTTCTCTCATCGGACGAACAAACATTTAAGGAATCCACACCTATTTACCAGAACGCTCTTACACACAGTAACTTTGATCACGAATTTACGTACACTCAGGATGCACCGCAACGGACACGTAGGAATAGGCAACGCAACATAATTTAGTTCAACCCACCATTTAGTAAGAGTGTTAACACGAACATAGGACGGGAATTCTTAAGTTTAATTGACAAACACTTCCCACTACAGCACAAACTACACAAGATTTTCAACAGAAACACTTTAAAAGTAAGCTACAGTTGCATGAACAACGTTAAGTCTATAATCACCAAACACAACGCACATATAATTAGGAACAGTCAATCACAGAATACGGAAACTGACAACTGTAACTGCGACAACAAAAACATTTGCCCACTACCGAAACAATGCATGACCAACAACATTATTTACAAAGCAACAGTCACAACGAACAACACGAACGACACTAAACACTACATTGGTATGACAGCGACTACATTTAAGGAACGTTACGCTAACCACACTTCATCTTTTCGTCATAAAAAAGACTCGAACAAAACGGAACTTTCGAAACATATTTGGAAATTAAAAGAAAACAATCAGGATTATACCATCAAATGGTCAATTTTAAAACACGCTATTTCGTACACAGGGGGATCAAAACGCTGCAATTTATGTTTGGAAGAAAAATTTTGCATTTTGAAAGACATAAACAAAGACAATTTACTCAATAAAAGAAGCGAAATTTTTGGCAAATGTCGTCACAAAAACCGGTTTCGAGTAAACAAGGTCGTTAACAAAACCTAATGACCCAAGCATGCATTGTTTCACCTAAGCATTGTTTCGCCTACAAGCATTCCGAACATTCTTTCGATAGCATAAAAGCAACCTACAATTTCGAAATTATTCACCACCTGATGATTCCTATACGGATGAAACAGACTGTTGTGGTTCTTTGAGGTAAAACGAAAAACTATATATATATATATATATATATATATATATATATAAACAATATTTTGCCAAACAGTGTGATTTAACCTGATAATTATAATAAGCTTGTTCATAGCTGGTTGTAGCAAGCAATTTTTAACTATTTTCTTATTTGACAATACCATGTATTCATATATTACTGGTGACTCAGAGGTTGGTGACATGAAATGGTTCTAGCACTAGCATTAGAGTGTTAGTTGTGAATATTTTAATGCAGTGACAGGGTAATTATGTTTGCCTTGATGGAGTGGACAAAAATCGCCAAGTTACAGTAAATGGTACA